AAAAACTAACATAAATGAAGCCATATGCAAACTTGTCGATAGTTAAACAGAAGAAACCGGACAAACTAATACTGTCCTTTATTTCCAAAATTACTCTCGTCGTGGTGGAAACCGCGGCAGAGGCAATAATAGAGGCCGACCATACAACAGAGGCGGCTACAGAATTAACAACAATAATGACAATGGATACATTAATAACAGAGACAATCCTCGAGGTGGCTCATATAGAGGCGACTCAAACAGAGGACACAGACAGCAAAACCAGATCCGAGTTACACAAGGCAACTCGGAAAGCCAGCAAACCCCCTTGAGCAACCAACAGTAAAAATACTGATTATTAACCTAAATCTCACTAGTCTCATTAAAATACATAATGGAAAAAATAATATTTCATTAACTTTGCTAGTAGATATAGGAGCAAATGACTCAATTTGAAAGAATAATAGAATAGATTCAAATATAAATCAAGACCATAAAACAATTATTACAGGAATTGGACAGGGAACAGTACAGTCAATTGGACAATCTACAATTGATCTACTTTACGATTACTTCGTAATCAGTCACGATTCAAATTGAATTCCCCATTCAATGCGATGGAATTCTTGGACTCGACTTTATTAGAAAATTTACTTGTATAATAACCAACACGATGAATTCATCATGAAACCACAATTTCTAAATTACCAAATACATGTACCACTATAACATAATGATATTGATAACTCAATATTATTACCAGCTAGATCAGAAGTAATGAGAAAAATAACGCTTCTGTCCAATGAAAATACTGTATCGTTACCAAACCAGGAATTTCACCCTGCGGTATTAATAGCTAACAGTATAGTAATAACGCAATAGTTCATATTTTAAATACAACAAATCAGAATATAACAAGTAAGAGGTTCTAGTCGGGAGCCCCCGACTAGGGGATACCCTGAACCCTCTTATCCAACACCAAATGCCGCTGTCGCTGCGCTCTCGTTTGCTGTAGTAAAGATAAAGATAAATTAAAAAAAAAAAAGCTTACTTCGCAGGCAGCACACCAGCAAAAAAAAAAAACAAAATAGTTGCCTTGGTAGGGTTCGAACTCGCAACAAATCGCACTACTCGCCGCCTCTACTCAACAGTCACACCAATAATTGAGTCTTAACGAGAAAAAAACGAATTAAAATGGCAGCACACAAAACAATAAAATCGCAATTGCAATGCTATTGATAAAATTCAAAGCAGACATGCGTGCACATTTAAACAGAAATTCTTGGAATTCGCGCTTGCTGCCGCTGATATGTTGAAAGCCAAAAAACATTTTCTTTAATTACTTCTGTGTTTCTTAAACGATCTTGATGAAACTTTTTTTTTATATTGGTTGCCAGCATGTATTGGTGTTTTCACTTGATTAACAGCTATGAGGTAGTAGCGGGGAGGTGGTGATAGCTATATAATGAATATATATAAAAATATATGAATATATTATATATATATATACTATATATACTATATATACTATACTACTATATACTATTCTGGAAGCTACATGTCAAGTTTGGTGACTCTAGCTCTATTATTTACCAAAATTGCTCAAAAAACAGGATTTCGATATCGGAAACAAGCTCGATCTGCGCGGGGACTAGGAGGACCTACAGCTAAAATTTCTAGCTCTTATAGGTTCTGAGATCCTTGCGTTCATACACACGGACAGACGGACATGGCTAGATCGACTCGGCTATTTATGCTGATCAAGAATATATATACTTTATGGGGTCGGAATCGCTTCCTTCTGACTGTTACATATATTTGCACAAATACATTATACCCTGTTTACCCATTTTTAATGGGTTCAGGGTATAAAAATGGCTAACAATAACTTGACAGCTGATTTGGTAGCTCAGTTGATAGCAACTCAGACTAGAGCACTTCAAGAGCAAATTGCACAATTGAAATTGCAAATTACTCTCTCCTCCAATAATGAACAAGAATTTAAAATAACCGAAATTAATGACTTAATTCGTTACGATGAAGCATTCGATGTCTTCAAATCTATTACAGAATTCTCAGGCAGTTTTAATGCATATGTTAGCTGGCGCGAAGCAGCTTGCTGCGCCATGAGTATGTATAAAGAAGGAAGTAGAAAGTATGTAGGAGCTTTAACAATCTTAAGAAATAAAATTACAGGTAAAGCTAATGACACCCTGACCAATCACGACGGCCAATCTACATAATAGAACAGGAATTGAGTATTTTTCGACAGGGTAACCTAACTGTTCTCGAATACTACAATTTGGTTAGTAAAAAATTAAACCTTTTGATAAACAAAACGATTATTACATATGGCGACAAAGCCAGCATCATTACTTAAATGAATAAGAATAACAGGGACAACACCTTAAGAATTTTTATCACAGGCCTTAATGTCTCTTTAGCAGAAATTTTGTTATCCCTTAAACCAGAGAACTTGCCTAATGCTTTGGCAAAAGCTCAGCAACTCGAAGCTAATTTCCAAAGGGCAAACTTCGCTTAGAATCACTTCACCAACACCCAATAGCGTAACAATCCAAACCCAGGGCAAAAAAATCAGCAAAAGAGAACCATGGATGTAGTCAAACCAATACAACTACAATTACACCCTATCCGTATCCGTATCCCCAAAATCGAAATTCTATGCAACCAAAGCAACGGGAATACGCTCCCCCTTTGGTTCGGCAACCTAACAAGCTCATGCGTATTAATAACCTTGAGGAAGACCATTTTTTAGAGGAAGAGGGCGAGAACTCCCCTTCATTTTCAGAATAGACAAAAAATAATAAAAATTTAAAAATATCAATTGGCACCGGTGCTCCCGCTTGTTATATAATAGAGGGTATATATGATAATGTAGAAGAATTAGTTATAAACAAGTAAGAGGTTCTAGTCGGGAGCTCCCGACTAGGGGATACCCTGAAGACAAAGACAATATAAACACTAAGATGAGTAACGCCATACAACAAAATGCTACTATGCAGCTTGCTTTGAAATTTGAGAACGAATACGAAATCAGTATCATTGGGCTCCCACAGCCGAAAGAGCAAAAAGCTAAACATAGAATGTACTCTGAGCTTCGGCTCTATGAGAGCCGTGCAAGCAATTATGTTTGTATGTGTGTTAGTATACATACATAACAGCACAATTTGAATGTGTTGTTATTCACAGCTCTGGCTTTAGCTGGCAAAGAAATAAATTTTGTTACTTTTCTAGCGCTGTTCATGCACCTATTATTATTTAAATTAAATGAATAATTATTTATTATTATTTTTATTTTATTAAAAAATAAAAGAGGGCCAAAAAATACAAATAGGGTTAATTAAATAAGTCGGTAGCTAGATCGACCGACGGAGTAAAAAATAGTTTAATCAAAAAAAATTGATAAAATGAATCTTTGGAAACACAAAATTTGCGCTCTTATTTCGTTTTTTTTTTTTATTTAATAAAAATAATAATAATTTCATTAATAAGTTAATTTAAAGAAAAAATATAAATATTTGCATCGCCTTGTAAAAACTGCTTGTTACTCAGTGCGCCGCGCCGGCTGGCTCATCGGTTTCTCTGGGTGTAGTCCCATCCTTGGCCCGCAGTGCGCACAATCGATAACAACAAAGCTACAACGTCTGTGGCAAAACATACCTATACAACACTTTTCAAAATGAACCACATAATCGATAACAACAAACAATCGAAACTTTTAACAAGTGAACAACAGCTGTAACAACAAGCAAATGTAAACAACAAAGGTGAGAAGCTCAATATAATTTAACAAAAAACACTATATATCCACTTTAGTTTTCCAGATCGGGTCCCGGTTCCGGACCCAGCGTACCCGCCCTACCAAACTCCAAGGAGAATAAATGGCGTATAGTTGTTGATTACCTAAAAAAGGCACTACTGAAACCAACATTACTGCAATACCCTGAGTTCACAAAGAAATTGCGCATAACCATAGATGCAAGTAAACATGTAAATTATCACCCAGCCCGACAAGGAATTCTTATTGAAATCATAAGCAATATTTCGGAATAAGTTTCTATTCCAATTACTTAGCCCTTTCACACTTATTAGACCCGTTTCAATCATTACGTCCACTCCCGGCTCTAACATAAACATAACAGAGCAAGCACTTAACGTAAAGATCTAGATTCTCATGCACAATTCATAACGTAAACTAAAGATCCAGATTCTCAAGGACATTTCCTAAACGAAAACTAAAGACCCAGCTTCTCGTGCGCAATTCCTAACGTAAACATAACTCCAAGCATTTAGCTTACGCAAGCCGCCCTCGCGAGCTTTTGCAATTTAAGGAAAGAAGCTTTAGCATAAACACAGCTAACTCGCAGCATAAGATCACCGAGAGCTTTTGATCTTTAAGGAAATAAGCTTTATCATAAACATAGCTTTTTTCCAATTAGTCGACACTAATTGGTTAATTGGCGTCCAACGTGGGGCTCGCGGTTGATAACACAAGAAAACGATAATTAAAAGAAAAAGTATCCTTAGTGATTCGCGGGTGAGCAAGTGCCGATATGTAAATCCAGAATTGTTCTCAAAAAGTGCATTAAAAATTTCCTATAAACGGAAATCTTGTGTGTCTCTAAAAAGAAGCATTAAAAATTTCCAACGGACGGAAGTATCCTGTTTCTAAAAAACTCAGAAGAGTATAAAAAAGTTCCGATAAACGGAAACACAAAGTGTTTGCAAAAATAAAGACTTGAAAGTCAACCAAAAATTTTCAACAAGTGAATCGAAAATTTCCATATATGAAAAGATTGTTAATAAAAACATTTCGTATGTTTTTTCGTATTATGAAAATTTCATCAACCCGAGATCTCCGAACGAGAACAACGTAAAAGAAGACCCTAAACCCAGACGGAAGGAAGACTTGACCCTAAAACCAGAAGGAAGGCTTGGACGACTTTATAACTTGTACGTGAGCCATCAGAAAATTTTTTATTTTTATAAACAAATATAAATTGTAAAAATAAGAAGTAAATTTTATCTACCTGAACATTGGTTAGAATAATAATTGTTGGATCATCAAATAGAAAGTTTAATTGAAGGTTTTCAAAATTTAACAAGCATGGGGTTCTAGTCGGGAGCTCCCGACTAGGAGATACCTTGAACCCTCTGCTTCCAACAGGCGATAGGTACAAAATGAAAGATACTTGATATATATATACTATTCTAGAAGCTACATGTCAAGTTTGTTGACTCTAGCTCTATTATTTACCGAAATTGCCCAAAAACAGGATTTCGATATCGATTTTTATCGATTACTTGGAAACGGGGCAAGTTATCGAATATCGGAAACAAACTCGATCTGCGCGGGCACTAGGAGGACCTACAGCTAAAATTTCTAGCTCTTATAGGTTCTGAGATCCTTGCGTTCATACACACGGACAGACGGACATGGCTAGATCGACTCGGCTATTGATGCTGATCAAGAATATAAGTATATACTTTATGGGGTCGGAAATGCTTCCTTCTGTCTGTTACATATATTTGCACGAATACATTATACCCTGTTTACCCATTTTTAATGGGTTCAGGGTATAAAAATGGCTAACAATAACTTGACAGCTGATTTGGTAGCTCAGTTGATAGCAACTCAGACTAGAGCACTTCAAGAGCAAATTGCATATTTGAAATTGCAAATTACTCTCTCCTCCAATAATGAACAAGAATTTAAAATAACCGAAATTAATGACTTAATTCGTTACGATGAAGCATTCGATGTCTTCAAATCTATTACAGAATTCTCAGGCAGTTTTAATGCATATGTTAGCTGGCGCGAAGCAGCTTGCTGCGCCATGAGTATGTATAAAGAAGGAAGTAGAAAGTATGTAGGAGCTTTAACAATCTTAAGAAATAAAATTACAGGTAAAGCTAATGACACCCTGACCAATCACGACGGCCAATCTACATAATAGAACAGGAATTGAGTATTTTTCGACAGGGTAACCTAACTGTTCTCGAATACTACAATTTGGTTAGTAAAAAATTAAACCTTTTGATAAACAAAACGATTATTACATATGGCGATAAAGCCAGCATCATTACTTAAATGAATAAGAAGAACAGGGACAACACCTTAAGAATTTTTATCACAGGCCTTAATATCTCTTTAGCAGAAATTTTGTTTTCCCTTAAACCAGAGAACTTGCCTAATGCTTTGGCAAAAGCTCAGCAACTCGAAGCGAATTACCAAAGGGCAAACTTCGCTTACAATCACTTCACCAACACCCAATAGCGTAACAATCCAAACCCAGGGCAAAAAAATCAGCAAAAGAGAACCATGGATGTAGTCAAACCAATACAACTACAACTACACCCTATCCGTATCCGTATCCCCAAAGTCGAAATTCTATGCAACCAAAGCAACGGGAATACGCTCCCCCTTCGGTTCAGCAACCTAACAAGCTCATGCGTATTAATAACCTTGAGGAAGACCATTTTTTTGGGAAAGAGGGGGAGAACTCCCCTTCATTTTCAGAATAGCCAAAAAAAAAAAAAAAATTTAAAAAAATTAATTGGCACCGGTAGAGGGTATATATGATATGCAGAAGAATTAGTTATAAACAAGTAAGAGGTTCTAGTCGGGAGCTCCCGACTAGGGGATACCCTGAACCAAAGACAATATAAACGCTTTTGAAATTTGAGAACGAATACGAAATCAGTATCATTGGGCTCCCACAGCCGAAAGAGCAAAAAGCTAAACATAGAATGTACTCTGAGCTTCGGCTCTATGAGAGCCGTGCAAGCAATTATGTTTGTATGTGTGTTAGTATACATACATAACAGCACAATTTAAATGTGCTCTGGCTTTAGCTGGCAAAGAAATAAATTTTGTTACTTTTCTAGCGCTGATCATGCACCTATCCCAAATTTGTATTCACATACGAATGCATGTTGTACTGAGGTTGGCTCCGTAGAAAATCTGTTTTTTAAAGTCGCCGCAAATATTTATATAATTATTTAAATTAAATGAATAATTATTTATTATTATTTTTATTTTATTAAAAAATAAAAGAGGGCCAAAAAATACAAATAGGGTTAATTAAATACGTCGGTAGCTGAATCGACCGACGGAGTAAAAAATAATTTAAACAAAAAAAATTGATAAAATGAATCTTTGGTAACAGAAAATTTGCGCTCTTATTTCGTTTTTTTTTATTTAATAAAAATAATAATAATTTCATTAATAAGTTAATTTGAAGAAATAATATAAATATTTGCATCGACTTGTAAAACCCCAGTACACAACATGCATTCATATTGTTACGAAACTGCTTGTTACTCAGTGCGCCGCGCCGGCTGGCTCATCGGTTTCTCTGGGTGTAGTCCCATCCTTGGCCCGCAGTGCGCACAATCGATAACAACAAAGCTACAACGTCTGTGGCAAAACATACCTATACAACACTTTTCAAAATGAACCACATAATCGATAACTACAAACAATCGGAACTTCTAACAAGTGAACAACAGCTGTAGCAACAAGCAAATGTAAACAACAAGGGTGAGACGCTCAATAAAAATTAACAAAAAACACTATTTATCCACTTTAGTTTTCCAGATCGGGTCCCGGTTCCGGGCCCAGCGTACCCGCCCTACCATGAGACGATCACCTTCACTCGTCTCCCTCGTTTTGGCCACTAGATGGCCGGCATGCCCCCTCTCCCTATCAAGTTAAACTTAGCCGGACATTCTCTCTTCAATACGTGCGTATAATTGGTTGCATTATGTTTATTAACAATTAATGTTTCTTATCTCTTTCTAATTTATACGGTGTGTCCATTCAGATATTTATTCTACGCAAGCTGACATTGTCTTCGGTTCGTCAACAGGTGCGTATTATTGCTTTGCCTTATACTTATGATTATGGACAATGGGTATTAATTTCTAAAATTTCATTTATTTTATAGAATAAATTTTTTTATTTTAACAACACTAAATGGAACAGGCGACGAAAAACTGCAAAGTTATTGCCCGTCGCCGTAAAAAAGAAGACAAGAAGGCAATCATGAGGCAATCGTGGTACTGATTTAAGAACAGAGTACCCACGCAAATACTTATAACTGGGTATATCACGATAATCAGTCGTGCAACAGATAGGTGATATACATATATATTAAATCGTTTAATTCTACCTTACCCTGCCTAAAGAGCTCTCTGGGCGTAATAAGGGGCGATAGAAAGGGGTAATTCAAGCTAGGTATGTATGTGGGTGTGGTTCGCGCAAGTACTAAATTTTAAACTTTTATATTTTATAGGCGCATATGCAAAT